AAAAGGTGTTGTAGCAATCTGAGATTATGCAAAAAATTCCTGAATGAAAATTCCTCTAAATTCCGGCATAGAAAACAGAGTGCAACATCGTATACACTATTGCTTTCAAGTTGCAACACTACATTTAATGCTGTCGATGGCTCAGAACTGTAGGCCTTCCCCCTAAACCAAAGTTCCTTTTTTAGGTTGAAGAAGGGCTCACTGTGGGATGCCTCACGACAGACTTCGCGCTACAAAACGTACTACTGAGCATGAACCTCGGCTTGGTCTCCCTGAATGGGTATCGTATAAAGAAATTGAAGTCATTCATATTACGGTGTCGAGCTTGTTTCAAAACGACACCGATCATGACCAAGGAGTTTTGTCCTGCATGTGGAAATAAGATGTTGCATAAGGTAAGTTGCAAAACCGCAATGTTTCTCAATGCTGCTTCAAACAGTAATATTTTAAAGGTTGCGGTGTCCGTGGATGAGAATGGAGAGCAGGTCTTACATATAAACTGGCAGAGACTTGCAAATAAACGCGGTTTGAAACATTCGTTACCGGCTCCGAAAGGCGGAAAACATGCGGTAAGGCTATCAGCTGTTATATAAGACTCACATTTTGATAGAATTATTCGCTATGCCGCTAGGAAGCTAGAAATATTCCGGCAAGGCTAGCCTTTATTTCTCTTAGGCCGATGTCATAGTTTTGATAGAATTATTCGCTATGCCGCTAGAGCGATTCGCCAGCGAATCGCTCGATTAGCAAACTATGACATCGGCCTTAAGCTTCTATCTTAACACAATTCTAGCGATTCATAGTGTATCCTAATTAGCTCCGTTAAAATAGTGACAACTTCTCGGAAGGAAGCCCGCCACTTCCAAACAGTGTCCACTGTCAATTCCCGCCAACTTTCAAAAAAGGTCCACTGTCACGTGACACTGTTCGAAAGTAGCGGGCTTCCTTTGAACGTTGGGTCCCGCCACTATTGAGTCGCTGGTACATCGTTGGACTCGCTGGTACATAGTTCGACTCGCTGGTGCATCGGTCGATTCGCTGGTGCAACGTTCGATTCGCTGGCGCAAACTCGGATCCAGCGAATCGCTCGATTCCAAACTATGACATCGTCCTTCCTCTAGTCTTACACAATTCCTAGCGGATTATAGTTGTAATCTTTACTAGCTTCCTTAAATAGTTGACCATTCCGAAAGAAAAAGCTAGATCATCGCATGAACGCTAAACGATCTACTGCATTTTTTATTATATTTTTTATTGTATAATATCTTCTTCAATGTGTTGCGGAATAGTCTGAGACTGTTTTTTTTTTTTTCAAAGAATGATTTGGAAGACCATCAGTTGCCTCATAAATTGTGTATCCAGCACTTGTAAATTAACTAATTTGAAAACGAGTTTTCTGCATACACATTAGTGGTCATTAATGACAATACGCTTGAAATGAAGGATAAAATACTTTTGAAACGAAAGCGAAAAAAATTCACTACGTTTGGCATGAGTCAGTAGACCAGTCCGATAAATTGTTCCGCATAAGTATCAGCTAGATGTCGCTTTTAGTCGTTTAAATGGATGAATCCATCTATAAAGACCCGTAGGGATAAATTGACTTCTTGCAGGTAGTTGAGAAATTGTTTGAAGATCAACCAATACCACAGAATCGCATGGCGAAAGTGCGTGCAGATCCACTCGAGGATGGCCCATTTTCAGTACACGACGTCACTTCCCGGTACCCTTTAAATACTGTGAATTTTCCGCAGATTGACGAACTTGTAGAGTTTAGATCAGCGATGCTTGGCGTGCGGACTATGAACAATAAACATCGACAAAGGCGAAACCCGAATGAAGCTCGAGCAGGCGGTCGACGGAAGTAACCCAAGGATTAGAATTCATTTTTGATTCCCACAATTATCATGCTGGCCGTTTTGTTATCGACTCACAAATATTTCTAAAAAAATTCGTTATTGAGTTGTGTACCCGTTGTTACTGTTTTGGTTTTGAATTGAGATTGTTGCTGCTGTTTTTGTTCCGATTATGTTCATATTCTACTTTTTAAGAATTTTTAAATATATAAAAATTGCTAATATTCCTGATTCCCATTTCATGGTTGATACCAAATTATATCGTAAATGTCTTGAAGCTTCTCCTAATCGAGTAATAGTGATGCTTTTATGAAATTTCAGTGACTAAGGTCCATACTGGTGGCTTTCTAATGTCGTCCGTGTACTATTGTCATCAGTGCCGCAACCAAGTACCTCTTAGGAACACCGTGAGTTAACATACTTTCATCGTCCTTATAATTACATTGAGAAATAGCTGAATGTTTGAGTTTGAATTGTTCAGGACATGATCTGTGGTGTATGTGGAGGAGAATTCCTCGAACAGATAACTCCACCTCCTCGAGTTATCCCTCATGCTCCGTTCTCACATTTTCGACAGCCTCCCGGAAGAGGGGCTCATTTTCATCATCACCATCATCACCCACCAGCTCAACAGCCACATGTACAGCAAGGGTCTAGTCAGAATGCACCAGAGGTTTGTAATTTCCCTGTAACGAGAACGAAAGAAAATTGAAATGACCTTCTTTTCGAGTATACTGAAACACCTTTCCGTCCTGAAATGCCTTCAAGTCGGTCAATTCACATTTTTCAGAACTTCTTCCAGTCACTTATGGGAATGTTCAATTCACTCCCTAGTCAACCACCTGCCTCATCGCAAAGTAGAAGCGGTAGTGGAAGTAATACTCCATCGAATGGTCGTGCTCAAGGGCCACAAGCCATAGTATGTTTCTACCTTTGTCAGATTTAAGAGTTTTTTAATGTTCTTTTTGCAGACTTTCTCCCTTGATCAAGCCATGCAAATGCATCCGATTCTGGGACAGGTACTTTCTAGTCTGGGAGATCCACATATGCAAGTCCGCATTCATATCGGTGATGACCGAGAGTACGTCACTTTCTTGACGCTATGTACACCCTTGTAGACTTACAGACTGCCTTTGCCATTTTAGCGGAACAATGCATGGTCCATTTGGTGACTATGTTTGGGGCGAGAACGGCATGGATCGCATTGTCACGCAGCTTCTGAATCAGATGGATGGCACTGTGAGACCGGTTGGACTAACGGAGCAGCAAATTAACAGATTACCCATAATAAAGGTGGGTCCTCCTATATTTCACTGACCTCACGTTTAAAGTTTCTTCTTGCAGGTTTCGGAACAGCATGTGAAAAAGGATACTCAATGCACTACTTGCTTTGAAGATTTCAAACTTGGTTGGTGTTCTCATTGTTTTGTTGTTGTCTTTTTTTTTGAGTGCGACGGATACATATTGATTGTACGATCCAAAGTCGCAAAACTTGCCTTGCCGCGATTGAATGATTTTTGCTGCGGTTGTCGCCTGGTCACTATTTCTCGTCATCATTCCTGTTCGCACTTCCACCCTTCCCTACTCTTCAGTTAAATAGAGATCTCTTCCAGAGCGCTTCTTTCCGCTGCTGAGTAGTTAAAGGAATCTTCCACGGACCATGGACCAGTGGGCGGGACCGGAAGTTTTTGTGACGAAATGCATGTAGGTACGGATCCACGTGTCGAACGCACGAACGTGAACAGGATTCACTTCAAACCTTCCCATGAACGTGGATCCGTACCTACCATGCATTTCGTCGCAAAACCACTTCCGGTCCCGCCCACTGGTCCATGGTCCGTGGAAGATTCCTTTAAATGTTCCCAGCGTAGGTCCCCAGACATATGCAGGGAGGCAGTCAGTGTTTCGCCAAAACGGTCTTCGTGCACCTTTTATTCCTTATTAGTTTGCTGGTCTTTTTGGATCCTAAGAACTGAAGGATTCATAAATACCAAAAGCGTAATTCCAATAGTTGAAGCGAATTGCTCAAGTGAGTAAAAATATGTACGAAAAATTGTTTCGATGAACCTTCTCGACCACTAGTGTATTACTGTTTGCCCTGCGAATCAGTGACCTAAAGGGGTAATTGTAGCACTGTGGGGCATTGGGGGGTTGGTGATTTTTATGCGTAATGAGCACAAACGCAATAGTATGGGAAGTAGAGATGAGAACGAGTCTAGAGAGATTAGACATATGGTATACGTAGGCGCCCTGTAATGAGTAATAGGGAGAGCGATGTGTTAGAGCTACACTTGCAAGCAGGGTGAAAATCGTGTCGAGTACGTGGTCGCAGAGGTACGACCCCCCCCCGAAATCGAGATCCTGGCACGACCCCCTCTAACAGAGCAAATTAATTCAATTAAAATAAATCCTGCAAAACAAATCAAAAAAAAAATTCTGCAAAATAATGCTAAGGACGCTTCATCTTGTCATCTATGCACGTCTTCCATCGCTGCATACTTTTGTGTACATACTGAAATATCGACTCGAGGAAAGAGGCATTAACTTTGTGTGACCTCAAGGCGAGGTTCGTTCAGAAACGCACAGAAATCCTGAAGACACGGGGTTGCGATTCAATCTTGATTCTTGCTTGAGTATATCAAAACAGCCGAGTGTATCAAAGGCCGATTCAACGGCAGCTGCGGCGCGATTGTCACTGGGTCAGATTTGCCGAAATTTCAAAAAAAAACGTCCGAATCTACACCCTCGATGAAAAGGTTGCATTCCTCCATTTCACAACCTTTGAAGCAGCTTGAGGTAGAGTTAGATAGAGCTGGATTTCGCGTTTCCAACAAGCATCGAAATTGCTCTGGAAGCCTTCCTTGCAGAAAGATAGGGTCTGTCAAATTTCGTCGAGTAAATGTCGAGGAGGCCCAAATTTTCACGCGAGTTTTTGCCACTTCAAGAGCAATATATCTCTTATATTGTAAGATCCTGAAAAAGGGAAGATAGTTTTGGAAAGCGGAAGGTTTGCGCTTCCTGATGGTCTGTTTAGTTTTCTTCTACAGCTTTTTGGTTGAAGAGATAATTGCGTCGAGGATCTATCGAGGTCGGATCCGGCCACCTGGAAATCCGCTCCCTCATTCACCATTGCAAGTGTGACTCGTTGGCAACACTCGGAATGTGTCTAGAACAATATCTTTGAACGCAAACAATAAGAATAGGAGCAATCGTCATCATCCGATTTGGTATTGGTATAAGCCATGCATCCCTCCTCCACTCACAGTTGCAGAATCGATTGAAAGGTGTTATATGATGGGGACCTTCGAACGAAACTGTATTGTAGTAGACATAGTGTGTTGTGCTATTCCTGTAACCTAAAAAACAACTTCATTTGCCCAGCGCTTTTTCTTCACGGTTGTCGTTTTTCCGACAGGGTCCCTAACAACAGCGTCATTCTCAGCGAGGTATTAAGGGAGAAGGAGCGAGTGATAGGCGGAGGAGGTGCCTTTGCAGCGCGTGCGCACATGTGGCACTCTTCTTTGCGGGGATGCACTTTCATTCTTTGTACTGCCTTCAAATACGCCCTTCTCATGAAGGTGGAGGAATGGAGCGACTGAACCTGCAAAGAAAATTTAATATCATGTTTTTTTTCGGATGTTTTCATTTTCTGCTGCGCTATACCCTATTACCTATCTGCACCATGATACCACTTCTGTTACTGACCCCAAGAGTACGACCCCCCATGGACCAGCCCAACAGGTACGACCCCCCTGTCGAGGATTTCCTCGACCGATATTCACCCTGCCTGCAAGTGGCGAGGAGTGGTTGACGAGTAAGCACAAGATATGCCAGTCACTAGATCGAACTGCGCTGACAATGGGCGCTATCGGTCTGCAATGTCATTATCGGCGAATGTCATTTGGAACGGTTACGTAGCGCCACCCACGAACGGAAAGTAGCTAACGGCGTGGCGGCTCTTTTCGAAGGACGCTGTTAGTTGGAGCGTGGGAGAAGGCATGTTCGTTAGCAAACTCCCGCCCCGTCTTTTTCGGAATCCTTGTTTAGGGCTTCACGACAATTTTTTGCTTTTTGTTATCAGTTTGTCACTGCATTGTTAAGCGCTGTTGGATCTACAAAATTTGATCTGGGGGGTTGCTTCAAATGGAGAGTATACAGTGTAAATTTGATACGAACGTGAGTATTTTTTTTCAGGAGGATGGTTGTGGGAGTTGCTATTATCACATATTCCATACACAATGCGTTGTTCCTTGGCTTCAGCAACGTCCATCCTGTCCCATTTGCAGACAAGAAGTGAATGCTTCTTTGTTTCCTGAACCGGCGCCTGGAGCTCCAACAGTCTCGGTTGGTCCTCATTTCAAATTTTGATAGTGAAGTATCTTTTTCTCGAGCTATTATTCAAGGAAGCTTTTCTTTTCAGAGCTTGGAAGCGAAACGATAAGCGGACCAGGAATTTGACTGAAATCATTTTTATTATGTTGCTTTGACGTTGCGTACAGAGTCACTTATTATTCTTGTTTCGTTTTTTGCGCTCGTTTTAATTCTGGTCGCTTGTTGCATCTTGAGAGTTAATGCTGCAGTAATTGACATTTGTTCATCTTCCCTTCATCTACTGAATTTGGGTTCACCGCGAAATGTGATGTACATATAATATGTTTCTATAGTATAGTAAAACTCGTGCCTATCTAAAAACATCAGCCCGTCATTTTGTAATCAAACTTGTTTCATGCTTAGTCAAAACCGCTAGGGTATGGAGAAATAAACGTTCATCTATGTGTGTTCTATTTTGTATAATCCCAAAACAAAATTTATTATAATATGCAGCAACAAAAACAAATAACCCCGACGAAATTGGACCACCACTACTGTTCACGATGAATGATACGAAGTTCAAGGAGAGAACAAAAACACAGTAATACTTTCAGCTTTGATAGTCGGTTTCATTAAAGGGTTACATTGCCAAAGTACGGAAGGATTGCCTGCTGTAGACACGACATCGTCCGATGAGGGCCACATCTGGCCGGCGTTGACGTTTGAAAGCGCGATCGTAACCTACAACACCTTTTCAGGGTTGAATTCACTGTACTGAAACCTACGAAATTATCATAGATATATGGGGTAGCTTTCCGCAGTAACTGGCTCCAGAACAATGTCACTACTTTTCTCTCAAAATGTAACGTAAGGTTGCAAAGCAGATGTTATCGAAAGATAGCAAGGTGTATCAAATTTACTATTAATGGTCGGGTCATAAAGGTTTCCTTTGATGTGTTATCTACGGATCAAAGCAATAGAGACAAACACGTCCACTAAAGTCACCAAGGACGTCCTGGTGCGGGCAATCGAATAGATGTTTTGTGAATGATGGGTTCATCATGATCAAACCATACAGCGCAGGACGCCGTGCATCCTTACGGCTCGACGAAGACAGTTTACTCTCGTCGAGGGACATGGGTGCTAATTACACACATTTAACCCGGTCGTGAGATCGTTTTCTCCTCATAATTAGCAGTACTATGACTGATTTTTTTTGTGTTTTACTAGTGTGGAAGTTATGTTTGATTCTTTTTTCTTTGAAGTAGTATCGGCGTGTTTTTCCCACACGTGCCTTTTGCACACGTAATAGACCTAAACCTAAACTATCATACGAAAACCGAAAACGTGTGCCAGTCGTCCAGTTTTTATAGCGCGCCAGGGTATCTTTTATGTGGCGACGCCTCTTCCTTTTGAAAAGTTCAATGAAAATGCATTCAATTCTGTGGCTCGCACACTGACTGATCATGGAATAGAGAGACGAAAACACATTGCCTCAATCGCATACAGAATTTGGCATAATATCTTATGGAGGCAGAGGACAAGAACAAAAATTTTGTGGTAGCGTGTTGATTGCAACAAAGGGATAGGAGGACGTAACGTAAACACTCAACAACTGAACCGGTAGCAGTGGCCCAGATTGTTCGCGATCCGTCGGGCGGTTTACCAGACCTGACCAGCTAATACATGCAAGACACGGCGGGCCAGCAAGCGTAAATAGGGATGGGTTTTCAAACGGACACACGTTCTCTACACTGGTCGATGCTTACGGCTTCTTCAACTAGGCGGTATTCATCTCCGGGGAATATATCCCCCTCCTTTGATTCAATCCTTAGAGGGGACAAAAAAGGGCTGCATCATAGGCTAGCATACCTCTGTGTTTCTACCTGCCAGACAGTTAGAGCAGCGCGACCCTCAGGGAAAAAGTTCATCAGTGGAGGGTAGTAGCGCTGCTCTAACTGTCTGGCAGGTAGAAACACAGAGGTATGCGAGGTCCTATGACGCAACCCTTTTTTGTCCCCCCAGAGGATATGAATCAGAGGAGAGGGGACAATTCCTTAAGGGAGGAAGGAATCCACCTATGGTCAAGATAGGGGAAGTTGTCAGATCAGTTTTGGACCATCCATGCGTGGGGATGGTGCACCCGGGGGGTAAGCATTTTAGGAGGTCTACTGATAGTATGGCGCATTTGTTGCGGACCCACTGCCTCAACCCGCGGGGATACCAAGCGATCCGCGGTTGGATTCGAACATTCTAGCTTCTCACGCATGTCAAGTGACTGCCCTCACCCCCCACCCCCCTAGACTGGCGACACTGCCCCTGGCTCACGGAATTCCCCGCTCCACATTGAAGGGTTCACTGTAGCAGGAGGCAGTGGGACCCGTAACGAATGGCGCCCTTTACTAGTCAGTAGGAGTACAAAACGATGCGTTCGACCGCGTTCCCCAGCTCGCTGCATTAAAAAAGGACTAGGGTATTTCGTTCGCAATCAAAATGAGCAAGCTTGCAAGTAGTAGATAAAAGCGTATCATATAATTAAACTATGATTTTGTGAAGTTTTCGTAGAATTAGCAGCAGAGGATAGCTGAAAGTTCAACAAATAATGCGATCGTAATTTATGATTGACTTCCCGACGAAATAACCCAAGATGGACATGACGTGAGATCACATCATTTTTGGTCAGAGACTAAATAACCTAAAGCTATGAACGCAAGATCTGCTAAATACTGGATTTTCTTAACTTTTCATTTACGCTTATCAGAAAAAGCGCTCCGTCCAATTCTAATAGTGAAGACAAATTCAGAATTATATATGAAAAATGTACACTAGTTTTTAAAAAATCAAAAACATGCGCACTTGCGCACTTACCTGGGTGTTTTGTTCCCGTTGTTAAAGTTTAGATGGTCTCAGGCGTTTATCTCTGAACCGTGCATAGTAAACGATGTAAGAACACACTGCGAGTGAGAGAAGGTTCTCGACTAGAATAATACTTTATTATCTAGGACGATGGGTATATCTCAGCCCTTTCGATTTTGAAAAAACGGTATATGTCGCTCAGCGCGATAGGATCAAGAATGGAATCATTGTAGTCAACGTAAGAAGATCGCCACGGAAGAATGCAGGTTCCATAGATCCTTAAAAAATAGCGAGTTTTATTCCAGATCAATTCCAAACTGGTCTTTCCTTTACCGAAACACGCACGACTGCAGATTCAAAAATTCTGTTAAGATATGGAACCAAACATCTGCGGAAATTTATTTTTGAGTATGGGTTAGGATGAAGATATTGGCAAAAGCGAAAACAAAGTAGTAGCCCTGAAGAGAAACTACAGAGCGATCGACTTCAGACCAAGGTGGGACAACCATCAAGCCTTTCCAGATCATAAGAGCAGACGACACTACCATTGCGAAGTTGAGCCCCTGAAAGGACAAAAACCTGAGGGTGACTGCTTCAAATTCACTATTGCATAGGAAGGAGTAACACGGAAGAAGCTTCTCCACTTCCCGTGAACTCTAAAGGGAGACCTAAGTAAACCAAAAGATCGGAGTGCTGATTTTGAAACATAGCGACGAATTGACCATAAAATTGCAAGCAAGTTATGATATCGAGTTAATTCACAATCAGCAGTTTAGCAATATGAAGCAAGCTAGCCTTCCATATTTTACAGAAGCCGCTATGGGCAGTAGATGTAGTTACCTTCCTGGCAGTGGCTGGTTCGTTGGCTTTCTTTCGTCAAGATCAAAGCCTACCAACGCTATACGGCAGATTACATTTGATAATCATAATTGGCTTGAGGGACTATTTTGCGCAAATAGATCTTCAATATTATGTAGCAGCACCGAATTAATGTTGTACCTAGGTCTCAACTCAAATTCCGAAGGAATTTAAATCCATTACCAGATAGGTACTGCATTTTTTTTCAAATCTACTACTTACAATTAGCTTCAGAGATACTGAAAATCAAAGAGAGTGGTAGCATTGAAAAATTACACAAGTAATAATACTGATAGATGAGCTGACGAACATTCATTCTCCGCAACTCATCGAACATTGCCAAGTCGAAGAGGCCCATTGTTGCTGAAAAGCTCCTCTAGAAACACAACTTTCAATATCAGCAAAAGTGGAAGCAGGATGGAGTTCACAACCATATCGGAAAATTGAAGCTCTACTGTCGTTAATATTTTATTGTCAGAGAATCGGACAAACAAAGACTGAGATCAAAATCTGCAATTTCAGGGATGTTTAGCGATGTTAAAAAAACGGTAGATGGGATAAACGACGGAATCAATTCAGAATACATTAGATAACAAGGACAACAATAAGTGTAATTGCATAAAATGTAAAACAAACAAAAACCCAAGATGAATTAAGTCACAACTGATCCAAGCCGGTAACCACCTCATGCTGTCGAACACCGTTTCCAGAAGACAGAAAAAACTCCAAATATTAGGCACAAACAGAAAAGTATCACAGACAGGACATCATTCAGTGGAACAGAGACCCAAAAAGTCGTCCATGAGTGTTCCAATGGCGAATATATCGTTGGCGTCAACCCTAGTTCCAATAAGCTTCACCTAAAAATATATGTTTAATGTCTCGCAAACAAGAATTGATGGCAAAAGAGAAATGTATTCACACCGGAAACCTAAGAAGATTGGATAACACCCAATTTCATATGAGTAAGCTTCCTTTTACACTCCACGCAGTATTAGGCCGATGACAGACTTCGCGAATCGCGCGATTCGCAAAGTCTGACACCGGCCTTAACCAGAATCAGACGATATTAGCAATTCCGGGGCTTTTTCAGATTCTCATGAAAAATAACCAACAAAGAGCTTTAAGCGAAAGAAAAAGCAACTAATTAGGCCAATGATAACGTTAGCAGCTCATTTAATTAACTATTCGGAAGCCTTCAAGAAGCATAGTATCGCACTCTCTAGCTCGAACGTGGGATGTTTCACTAAGAAATAAGGCTCTGAAAGTGTTAAGAGTTGAACTGACCCGAATCTCATCGTCCTGTTTTATGATTGAAGTCTCGTCTTCAGTTTTATAACAGGGTGGGTTTGAGTTTGGGTCAAACTCCATATCTGGGGGAATACAATGTCGTGAAATGAAGCATGACAGCGGGCCAATGTCACAGAATATGCCGACCTTGTTGACCTAAACATTGTGGAGGAACTACAGAATTACCCGACAAATCAAATCAAGAAAAAATGAAAGAAGAAGAAAAATAAAGCTTACCTGATTAACCACAGCATCAACAACCTGGCCCTTGAAAGGCCGGAATACAATCGCTTTGTACTTTACAGGATATATTACGAAGCCACGACCTGTAAACAAATGATCCATTAGAAAACAGCGATAAAAACTGCGATAGCAATATCGCGAGACAAACCTGGTTGAATAAGTCCATGCCCTATTGTATCGATTGTCGTAACAGCGATGACGAATCCAAACTTGCCCGTACACGTGCCTTCCACCTCAGCAAAGAGCTTCATTTTGATCGTTTCATTTAGATTTGCACCGAAATACTTGGGATGAAGGCAAACTTCATGTTCCATTGACAAGTGAAAGAACATTATTAAATCTGAAAAAAATATTCAGTCCAGGAAGCTGCTATGAAAAACGAGGAACATCGCACAACGGTTCCTGAGAACGCGGTAAGAAACAGTGTCTAGTCGGGTCATAGTTTGCAGTTCGAGCGTAACGGGACGGTGTCAAACTTTGCGAATCCGTGAATTCCCTAGCGACTGGGAGTTCCCTAGCAATTCGAAGGGCACGAGCGATGTCGGCGATCTAAACCAAATTCCCTGGTGCATCGTTCGACCGCTGCCACCACCCGCGCCCCTCACATGCAGCGAATCCGTGGATTCGCAAAGTCTGACACCAGCCTAGGTACGACGTAAGATTCGCACGAAGCGATATGTATCTATTCCACGCTAGCTGCAAACCGAGTTGAAAGTAAGATCCGACGCTTGGAAGGAGTTGACGATGGATACTGTGAAAAGCCAATGTCCTTTGCAAATTTTAATCTAGAAATTGCTACGGTGTCTAGGAGCAGATCCAGATCAAAAATTTCTACACCAGTGTAGGATGATCGCTTGAATTGGGCTTAAAGGCGAAGTTACGATGTTGGGCAAGTTCAAAAAGGGATGTAATTTTGGTTTTTGGGGGCGGATGTAGACGTCGCCTGAGGGAAGGATTGCTTTCTCAATGCTGTTTCTGAGTTTTGGCCTTTGCCCTGGAGCTTCAAAAGAAGTCAACAAGATAGTGAATCTATCCGACGAAACAAAAAACTTTCTCTCTTGAACCCTTAGGCCGCGTTCATAGTTCGCGACACCTGGAGATCAGGATAGTAGGATAGTCGGAGAGTAGGATAGTAGGATACTGAGCGACTGGCGATAGGAGAGTAGGAGAGTAGGATAGTAGTAGATTGCGCTGACAAGATTAGATACGTATTGACTGAAATCGCCGGAGAGTTGGATATTACGATATCACGATAGTAGGATAGTAGTAGATTCCGCTGAACAGATTAGATACATATTGATCAGGATATTAGGATAGTAGGATAGTAGTAGAGTACGCGAATTAGGATAGTAGGATAGTAAGCGACCACAAATAGAAAATCAATACTCCTATTATGCCTGTTTTCTTTTCCTGCCTACTTTTCTTTTCTTTTAGTTTCTTTTCTTGAGTTCTTATCTAGATTAAGTCATAATTGAATTTCCTGTGAAATCAACAGACTCCTTCTGATCCGTAGCCACGTGTCTTAAATGGGTGTTGATGACTTACAGCTATTTTAACGTGTAGGTATTGATTTTTCAATTTCTTCATCCAACTCAAGAACAAGGAAGGTGTTGCTTGCATCTTCCCATAAAATCCCGGTGCTAACTTAGTTGGGGGGGGGGCACGCGGCGGCGCGGCAGTCTGCTCACCTGGGCTCTCTCGAGCGAGACAGTGTAAACTCGAACATTCCAGCTTTTCACGCATGTCAAGTGACTGCCCCCACCCCCAACCCCCTAGACTGCTACACTCCCCCTGGCCCACGGATTTCCGAACATGCCAGGCGAGCAGACTGCCGCGCCGCCGCGTGCCCCCCCCAACTAAGTTAGCACCAAAATCCCTTCCTCTGCCTAAGGCTCAGTCCCAAGTACAGTAATTGGCTCACTCACTGGGATGTCCCCCCAAGGACATGAGCGCCGGTGCAAATTGAGCTCTAGGTAATTAATGATTTATGTAAATGTTCACAAGGAAACAAAATGTTAGTTTAATCATTTCAGGAGAGACAAAAATCATGAAGACACGTTGAGTCAAGAAAACAAGCTAGTTTAGCCCAAAATTCGGAAACAATGCCAACTTTTGCAAATCAACACTCCTCGCTTAATATCCTACTCGCCAGCGATTTCAGTCAATATGTATCTGATATGTTCAGCGGGATAGCCTACTATCCTAATTCGCGTACTCTACTACTATCCTACTATCGTGATATCGTAATATCCTACTCTCCAGCGATTTCAATCGATACGTATCTAATCTTGTCAGCGCACTATCCTACTCTCCTACTATCCTAATTCGCGTACTCTACTACTATCCTACTATCGTGATATCGTAATATCCTACTCTCCAGCGATTTCAATCGATACGTATCTAATCTTGTCAGCGCACTATCCTACTCTCCCACTATCCTAATCTACTACTATCCTAATCTCCCCGTCAATACGTATCTTTTTCATTGTCGCGCACTATCCTACTCTCCGGAAGTCGCGAACTATGAACGCAGCCTTAAGGCAAAAGTTGGCAATCTGCGACTCCAGAGAATGAGCGAATCCGCGAAAGAATTCTAGGCGTATCGACGGCGAGAATTGAAACATCGGTTGGAAAAGTTCGATAGGTCTCGATTCTCCGAGTCCGTCTCACTGGAACCGTTGAGTCACGGAAGCCATTCGCCATTCTCTTATTCCCTTGATCGACTCTTGGGCATTGGTCCAGTCTGCGACCTCGGCGAATCAGAAATGGATGGAGCCTGAAGAGTTATGTTATGGAATGGATCGAGAGAAAAGGGGAATGGTGGGCTTCCGCCCCTCTACCGATTAGGCCGCGTTCATAGTTGTAATCGCCGAAGTCGTGAACTATGAATGCGGTTTCACGATGGAGCAGAGTCAATTGATCGATCCTACCCCTGTTCGCATATGCTTCAGCGGTTCGCTCACGCGTTCTCGCGACTGCCGATTCTCGCGGTAGATAGTTAGGCCGATGTCATAGTTTGCGAATCGAGCGATTCGCTAGCGAATCGCTGGATCCGAGCGTTGCGCCAGCGAATCGAACGATGCACCAGCGAGTCGAACGATGTACCAGCGACTCAATAGTGGCGGGACCCAAAGTCCACAGTCAAGTGACACTGTTTGAAAGTGGCGGGCTTCCTTTGAACGTTGGGTCCCGCCACTATTGAGTCGCTGGTACCTCGTTCGACTCGCTGGCGCAGTTCGATTCGCTGGCGCAACGTTCGATTCGCAAACTATGACTCGGCCCACGACACGCGACACGTATCTAATCCATTAGGCAAAGTTGCTATTTTCTAGAGTCGCAGCCTGTGAACAATCTTATAGTCTTATATACCCCTTTGCATAGATCTACCCATCTCTGGTTCTCTGAGGTCGCAAATAGCGGGTAATGCATACAAGACAGTTAATGGGAATGCCAACCTTAACACATTCACGACGGCGCCCCTTTTCCACTTTCGGTCGCGTGGACGGACGCGATTTTCGTGGGCGCCGCCGCTAACCTCACATCCGCGGATTTTGTACTGTAAATGAATAAACATGAATGATCACAAAATAATTTGCGCAGTGTCTGTAAACTCGCGTTTCGGGGGGAAGGGCACGCAATGGCCGCGGCGCTCCGTTCCTGCTCCTCCAGGCTTAGTCCAAGGGACAGTTACTCATTCGCCATTGGCCGATGTCTGACTTTGTGATTGGAGCGATTTGGTCAAGTCTGGAGTAATGTGAATCGCGTCTGTGACCCGCACACACGGGAGCGATGGCCCCATCGCGCGATGGTCGCGCGATTCATATTACTCCCAATCTTGACAAAATCGCTTCAATCCGCAAAAGTTCTGAATCGCATTGGCTGATGTCAGACTTTTGCGAAGTCAGCACGATTTCACTAGGTGCGTCCGCGGTCGCGTCGCAGAGGCTAGGAATTCACTCATTGGCTGACCGAATGCGTGACGTGGACGCTAGCGAATGTGACATTCGCACATTGACGTTGCCTTAGACCGACGTCATAGTCGGCGACGGACCACAAGCGATGGAGCGATCGCGATCGCTCCATCGCTTGTCCGTCGCTTGCCAATCGCTCTTGGTCGAGCGATTGGCAAGCGATTGCGCAATCGCTTGCAAAGTGCACAAGCGACGGGCAATGGCTCTGCTCGATCGATACCGCAGCCGACTGCATTGACTGGGGGCGGGGCCAATCGCCCGTCGCTTGTGCACATTGCGCAATCGCTTGCCAATCGCTCGACCGAGAGCGATTGGCAAGCGACGGACAAGCGATGGAGCGATCGCGATCGCTCCATCGCTTGGTCCGTCGCCGACTATGACGTCGGTCTTAGGCCGACGTCATACTTTGCGAATCGAGCGAATCGCTAGCGAATCGAACGATGCACCAGCGATTCGAACTAGGTGCCAGCGAATCGAACTAGGTACCAGCGAATCTTGCATAAAGCTTGAAACTAGGGTGTTAGGCACAGCAAAATTTCGGCAATGCTATGCAGTTTTGAGGGGGTTATTGGATCAGCAGATTCGATATTGCTGCGGCAATGCTATCTCACGAAGAGCAGCAGTATCGCCTTAAAACTTATCCAATACGAGTCATAGCGGTTATCATTACGAATATAACTTCATTTTTGGAGTCGTTACCATCACAATTCGATGGAAAAAGCTGTTTCGCAAATCCGCAGCGGCGTCACGTCACGTGGTGGCTTTTTACTACTTGCTCCTTCTCCCGCTAGGGTCGTAATAATGTAGTATTGTAAAGGACTACACATGAACTGGTCTAATGGTCTGTCTAAATTTTGATAAAAAGCGCTTTTTCAACCATGACTAATAATAAGATCGTGTATAGGGGTTATAGCCGCCTTCGGGGTTCTACAGAAGTTGGTCGGGTCTGTAGATAGTTGCATGTGTGCTCAAGAACTGGATGATGAAGGAAAATGAATAGTACTTTGGGCTCGTTCTTGGCTGCCTGCCCAATCTGTTAGGGAAGACTTCGTGTAGGGTATCAACAAGAGCTGAAATAGATGAATCATTAGAGCTTAGCCTTAGTAATGCAAACTATTTAGATGTTAGCGAGTGATTTGTAAAAATTCGTATTGTTTGAGGTTGTCCGCTTTACAGCAGTGTTCTTAGCTTGTACTTTTGTTATGAGAAATGTAATTTGATCTAAAAGTGTTTCTGCTGATAATTCATTTACAATATTGAAGTGTGATTCTACAGCTCAGATGAGTACGAAAAGAGGATACTTGTAAGTTTTGCTCTGGAACTACAAACTCTAGTCGGTTATCACCTGCATGGACTTGGTAGTACAGTCGATATCCGGAAGTTGGGGCAGACGTGTCACCGGAAGTGATGTGCACTTGATAGAAGTTGCGTGGATCATCTGTTGCCAGCATGTTTTGCTAATACCCAGCGATACCCACGTTTGAGAACAGCTTATCCACATAGCTTCTATCAAGTGCACGTCACTTCCGGTGACACGCCTACCCCCACTCTCAGATATCGGGTATAATAGTGTAGTATACGATAGATCCTCTAGACCCATACTCGCTAACGGATTAATGTGATCATGTATTTGTCTTACTAACAGAATGCGATCAAAACTGACTACTGCCGATCTCTCCAAGTATATGACCAGCCTTCATTAAAATTGTTGGCATTTTCGGACAGGATCCATTTTAGAATTATTATTTTCCGGACCTCAGTCAACGTATCGATCGAGAGGGGCGCGCCAGCCACAACGGGAGTGATCGCGCCCATCGCGCGATTGGAGCGATTGGTCATGATGAGAGTCATGTCAATCGCGCGATTCGTCGCGCGATTGGCATTTGACCGATCGCTCCAATTGCAGAGTCTGACATCATGGGCCGAATCCTCTCCCTCGCTAGTGCGACTTACATTTGGTGGAAGCGTAACGTCTTGAGCAACAATTCAAGTTATACGAAGCATAAGACTCATGTGAAGCTTTCAAGAATTTGACGTACCCCATAAAGTGATTATAGTTGCGATCAGTCCCCACAATAGCTGTAAAAGTTTGAACTGTGTGAAATGGACGGTTTCCATTCAGAGGGGATGTCAGAAGGAAAACTGAGAATGTTCATGGAAGGTCTCATTAATGCAAACACAGAGAGAACATTGTAAGTTTTAAGCGTTGAACGAGTTGGCACTCGAGCGAAAAAAAAGACGGTAGGCTAATTTGGGCATTTTTCGCTAGGAAAGGACGGTTTGCTCATGATACGCAGTGGAGTTTCTGAACTACATGATAGGAACCTGAACTTGGCCGTCAAGTTTCTATTTTTTGGCGCAGATACTTGAAGGCAAACATTTCCGAGATGCCCCTCATCATATGAAAAAGTCCTTATCAGTGAGCTTTCCTGTATCCTCTATCAATTAAGATCAATCAAAGACGCCGATGTACAAAGATTACTGCCGCGGCACTGTAGTCCATTTGAATTTGAATGAAGCCCAACGGTGTTAGATATTGACTGACATGATCGAATAATTTAATTACTCCTTGTATAAACCAGTCAACGAGTACCTATAGTGGACGAAATAGGGGAGTAAAACGCGAAATTCGGAGGTTGTGTGGCCTCACCAAAGGCTCTTTGTCCGGCGGCAACCACACACTCACTCAAAACCTAGCCTAACACCCTAGTTTCAAGCTTTATGCAAGATTCGCTGGTACCTAGTTCGATTCGCTGGTACCCAGTTCGAATCGCTGGTGCATCGTTCGATTCGCTAGCGATTCGCTCGACTCGAGCGATTCGCTAGCGATTCGCTCGATTCGCTAGCGATTCGAGCGATTCACTAGCGATTCGCTCGACTCGAGCGATTCGCTAGCGATTCGCTCGATTCGCAAAGTATGACGTCGGCCTAAATGGTGGCCCTTATGTGTGTTCAAAATGACGTCGGCCATTTAGATGATGAGCCTTGCAGACGAAAACAGGCGCTCGCGGGCGGCATGCGCGAAGTGCGAGGGATTTACGGACTACTTGATTTTTCCTCAATGGTCCTGCCGCGATGGCTAGAGCACAGACGATTAGAGAACGGGGACTAAGCATTGGAGGATGGAGGGACCCGCGAGAGAGCGCAGAGGAGGTTTAAAGGGCTGAGTCAAGTAGTCCGTCGACCTCGCGTGCCTCCCCCCCCCCGAACCCGATAAGTTTCACCAATGTTCAATGCGTAAAGATTATCTAAACATATAACAGTAGGATTTCGATCAGAACGACAAATAGTGGTTACGAAAAGAGAGCATTTATTCACTTTCCCCGTGAAGGAATTTAAAAGCATTTTACACTCGATTACGAGATTTACCCACCTATCTGTCCATTCCTAGCGCCTGGCAAGCGATTATCAGCTGGCAGCCCATATGGGCTGCCATCGTCCCAGGAGCACATGTTGTTGGCAGCCCATATGGGCGGCCATCGGCGTGAATGTGTTAAAAATGTCAAAGGGATGGACCTGGATTCCAAAAGAAGATGAATGGCCGACAAATGGCAAATTCGGCCAGAAATTCCTCTGGAGTGAGTTCTGTGGCGAGTTATTCATTTGCCTAGCTTTTGGCAAAAATTACTAGGAAACTTTGTGGTTTGATGTGTAGCGCAAAAACTCCCACCAAACATGTCCGAAGTAGTGTAAACATATGAGAAACATGCCAGCATCTTCAAAGAAGAACTAATAAAGGAACATTTACAGTGAAATAAAGAAATGTTTGAATGCTGATGCTTCCAAAGTGGAAAACTGCCGAGGACGAGTACACCTCGAGGAGTCGGCGGACAACTCGTCCATGACCGCGGAGCGATGCATACGTCGGCTGGTGACGTTTCGTTTCCGGCTCGAAGTTTCGTTTTTTGATCTTCGCAAACTTGGTGATGATTGTTCAGTATCAAGTTCTGGAGAATGTCGTACACTCAGAAACTTATTTTAGAGAATTGTGGTCGGTCGTCTGTGGCTCATATGTTATGAAGTTCATTGGATGTTAAACTTGACAAAATTGGACTATTCCTATGTATACGCTGTCAGCTGGTTTATGGGAAAAGTTTTTCAAGAAACGGGATTACTATGTGGTTATTGTTGGTCTAGATAACGTGGGGAAGACGGTGAGTCACATATTCAATTATTTCATCGCATTTTTCCATCCAAATAAGGAGCATTTCGAACGTCCCACTTTCAGACATTCCTCGAGCAAACCAAGTCTCATTTCGTGAAGGGTTATGGTGCCCTCAATCCTGCACGAATCACGAGTACAGTGGGCTTGAACAGTGAGTAAATGACGTTGTTTCTTGTTTGGGTTGATTTTTGGCTCCGTATTTATTTGGATGCTGTGAAGTTCTAGACGTGTGATGACTGAATTTCAGTTGGTAAAGTCGAAATAAATAACACTTGTCTGAATTTCTGGGATCTCGGCGGGCAGGAAGATCTGCGGACGCTGTGGGTTAATTACTACGATGAAGCTAATGCGCTGATTTTTGTAATTGACGCTACAAGAAGGGATCTTTTTGACGAAGTTGCTGCTGTGTTCAGTGAGTACTGATTTATCTCAATCTTTTCTAACTTTTCTTACGGTCATGTTCGCTTCATCCGTGTTTTTCAGAGGAAGTAATGTCGAATGAATACGTGCGCATGATACCTGTACTGGTTGCAGTAAACAAAAGCGAGATCGAAGGTGCCGCACCGGCTGCCGAGGTACATTTTTCGGTGCTAACTTAGTTGGGGGGGGGCCACGCGGCGGCGCGGCAGTCTGCTCACCTGGGCTCTCTCGAGCGAGACAGTGTAAACTCGAACATTCCAGCTTTTCA